TCAGAAACCTAAGCCTCAGGATCACTTTGAACACCTCCAGGTAGATTTCCTAAAATTAGCCCTACTTTGGGTTCTGAATGTGCTCTGATCATTCTGGATGGATTAAAACTTTATCTTGTCAGAGAGCTTCGCTACAAGAGAAGAAAAAAAAATTTACTGGATTTTCTGTTCCCAGCCTGAAGAATTCCAGTGACAGAAGCACTTATTTTACTGGAACTCTTATTAGAGAACTTTGCAAAGCCTTGTCATTTACGTAGAAACTTCATTACCCTAATCATCCTCAATCTTGAGGACAAACAGAGAGGGCCAATGGCATATTAAATCTGATACTCCTGAACTTCCACAGGCAAGAAGGTTACTTCTAACTCTCAAGACTATGAAGTCCATACTCTACTACATTCATCGTCTTTTGCCATACAGACTTGTTAGAGGTTTCTCTATTAAGTTGGATATTTCTCTTGTGATTCTGGACGCTTCCTTACTTCACACAAACATGGTAAAGTACTCCAAGGGATTCATGCAATAAGCATCTTAGTCTTATTGCCAATTGGAATAACTTGCCATTCCACTACATGACCTAAAACTCAGACATACCATCTTCTGAAAATGATCCCAGAGGGGGAAAAAATGCCTTGAAACTACAATGGAAATAATCCTAGCAGGTACTCTTGACTACTAGCACAGTAGTTAAACTCCAAGGAATAGATCCTTAGATTCATGTCTCCTAGCTAAAGAGACAAAAGGATTCACTCTCCCATACCTAGACTGCCATTCCATCAAGATATTTAAAACTAAGGGGTCTTAAGAATCCTTCAGAAGCAGATTGTCTTCAGGAGGAGAAAGTGTCCATCCAAGAGCAATGGATAAAGAAGTAGACTATATAATGTAGACAGCCTCTATCCAAGACCTACAGAATAAGATCTAGATCAGGGGTCAACAAACTATGGCCCATGGGCCGATTCTGACATGCTGCCTGTTTGGGTATGGCTAAGACTCCATTAATAAGCTGACCTCCAAACGCCACTCTGACTGGTGGGCCACAGTAATATTTTGGGTCTCCGGGAATTAGTGTCAGTTCAGAGCTAGTATCCAGTAATCCCCAAAAAGTCTGATTATTTCCTTTTCCCCAGTGAACAGTCACTCTCATAAAAGGCCGTAAATCCTTTTGGGGAAGGCTGGGAGAAAGATTAACAATATAAATTTTTGGCAATGTAGTGGGGTCCTTCCTCAAGGGGACCTGGCGTCTCTTCATTCAAGGGATTGTGAGTCTGTAAACTCGCTCAAATCTGGGAATTGATTGAGGGGCTGTGACTCTATTCTGGCAATTTGAGTTAGACTGCCATTCACTTGAAGTAGGATTCTTCTGCTTGTACAGATCAAGTAAATATTTAGTAGATTTTCTATCTATTTCACTCTTAGGGACACCATGACTGAGTAGTCAAAACCTTAAGTCCACGCATGTCAGACTATTTTGATTACTGTTTTGACTTCACTGTCTATTACGGTAACCACACCTACCTTGTCTTTGTCGATTGAGTACTGTCACTTGGCCCCTACCACCATAAGGTCCAATCAGCCTCATTGTAGTTAAGTGTCTTAATTCATTAGGGCAGTTCCCACTGTCAAATATGACTTACATAAAATAGCAATCACAGCAGTCTCCAAGGATGCTGGGGCTCCCTTCACAAACTTGTTCCTCACTGTTGTGGTAAAAGGTGTGTCTTCTGGGCACTCCATGTGTGGGTTTGTGGGTCTAACCTGATAAATCCACTCTAACATGCCAATTTCTCTAAACCTTTAGTTACCTTCTCCTACAGTACACCAAGGCAGGTCTGGTATTTCAACTTGATTTAGTGTAGGCCACCATTTAATCCACATTTCAGTGACCCAACCAAATAAACTATTAGATCCTTTCCTAACTTCTTGAGCTGAAACATTGAATGAAGAATCTGTGCTTAGTGGGCCCATATCAATAAACTCAGACTGATCCAACCTTATGTTCTTTGCACTATTATCCCACACAGTTAATAGCCATTCCCATACATATTCCCCAGGTTTCTGTTGTACGTATTAGAAAGCCAAGCAGTTCTTTTGGAGACTAGCATACCTCCTCCTAGGTCACATTCTGTATTTCACCTTTTGGGGCTCACTGGAACTTAAGTCTAGTTACAGGTCTAGAAGCAAAAATGGGTTGTGGGGGTGGGTCCTAGGAACGTTCAGCAATGTCTTATAAGGCATCTACTCAGGAAATGCCCCAGGAAATGAACGGAGCACTGCCCCAGGTGATATCTCAGCAAAGGCTCTTTAGACAAAGCTGGGTTACTCTCATTAGATGGGGGTGGAGGGGGTAATGATTTACTAGGGAGGGTGTCTTAGCAGACAAAGATGGCATAATCTCTTCAGATGGGAGGAAGAGGGCTGGTTCTGTTGGTAGGAGTGATTCAACAGAATTTAGAGGCTCAGTGTCCTCAGCTTCCTGATTATCTGCCCATATGTCCCCATCTCAAGTTTCAGGATCCAATTTCTTCCCAATAAATGCCCTCACTTTAACTTCAGATACCATTCGCAGTTAGGAATTCAGCTAACATTGTAATTCAGCCACTCTTATGATAAGACTCTGGGTTTGTTTTCAGCAATATCAGCTTTGTTACTACAAGAAATAATGCTTTCTTTCAGGGCACAAGTGGCAACTTTCAGGTCTTTTATGCAGCGCTTCAGCTGTGACTCTGAAGCCCTGAGCTCATCTCTTTTTTTCACCACTCTGTCTAGCAAAACTAGGAACAACCAACCAGCTTCCCTATACTTCTCATTCTGACAAAACTGTAGAAAAGTATCAAACGTGATATTACCCTGAGCCTTCCTTCTCATCAATACTTGATCTATTGGTGGTGATGTTTCACATATTAATATTGCCACCTCATGCCATGGTTTAGCAGCGCCCTCTTTACTAGTGGAGGCAGAGTCATCAGTGCCTTTAAGACTAGTCAGACTTAAGAACCAATTTGAAAACTCATCCTTACAATTTTGTTTGTCTAGAACCACTCTTGGTACCAAAGACTGGGTTCTCTAGAAAAGCAAAATCAGTAAAGCATATATGTATATGGAGAGAGATTTATCTCAAGGAAATGGCTCACATGGTCGTAGAGGCTGGCAAGTCCCAAGTCCGTAGGTCAGGTTTCCGGCTGTAGGCTTCTTCTGACTCATGTAGCTGCAGAGGCTGATGAACCTAAGATCAGCCAGTCAGACAGCAGGCCACTGGCTCATGGACTGCAGTGGTTGATGTATCCAAGATTGGCAGGTAAGACAGCAGGCTGTTGGCTCACAGGCTGTGGAGGCTGATGAATCCCAAGATCAGCAGGCAATACAGCAGGCCGCTGCCTCAAGTCTCAAGAACCAGACGTCAGAGATGATGAGCCAGATGCAGGATCCAGAGCAAGCAAGAGAGCTTTGCTAGAACATCCATATATATTGGATGCAAGCCACCCCCCCCAAGGAAACTCCCTTTAGAACTGATTGGCTGATCACATCAGATCACATCATGGAGGTGATTACATCAGATCACAAAATGGAGGATGACTACATCATTACATAACTTCCAAATTACATCATTGCATAACTACCAAACTACATCATAACTGTGAAACCACTGAGAATCATGGCTCAGCCAAGTTGACACACAATCTTAACCATCACACACATGAAGCCTAAAATATTTACTATCTTGCTCTTTACAGAAAAAGTTTGCTAACCCTAGATCTAGATAATTGGAGCTACAGATTGTCATGCTTTAATATGCCTGCTTTTGTTCTTTATTTTTCTAGATATCTTCTTTCCTCTTTGTTAACGATCCAGAAACTTAAGCCAGCAAACACTTATTATACCCAAGGTCCTTATCCTTAATATTGCTCTCGGTATTCTTGGGTTACTCTATGCTATAAGTCCAACAACTGGCTGAAATTTGTTTGTGATTTGGGGATGGCATCAGTTCTCCTCATTTAATTTGGGCATTTTTAGCTTCTAGCTTAGAAGTGGACTACAACATCCAGTAATTATCTTTTTCTAAGTATTTTTCTGCATTGCTGTGTTCAAATGTGCTGTTGTTACACAGTCTATGTCCTACCAAACGATCAAATAAATGATCTTCCAAAAAAGGATATATATATATATATATCAGCTGAAACAACTCATCACTAGAAACAACCTGATATGCTATCATGACTCTTCATAAAGCAGTATAGATTTTGACTGATCAGATCCTCAAATAACAAAGGTCTATCCAGCAGCTCAGTATGAAGGACGACCACTAAGAACTGGAACCACCTGCATCAACAAATGCTAACAGAGCTATCAGTATGAAGAACTGAGACTATTTGTGTCAACATGACTTAATTTTTTGTTCCAAGAAACCTTTGCTCAGTAAAGATAAGACCGTAAAAACCGATAAACTGTATCATTGTTTGGTTCAGGCAATTATGGCAAAAGAATTTATACGAGAGAATAAATAGTCTGCTCATTTGGGCAAACAGCTGGTTTACCAAACAAAAATTTACTCTCAAGACTTACTTCAAGATTTTCATGTTGTTACCCTAAACTATTATGTCACAAAACTCACTCAATCCCTATTAATGTTCTGCCTTAAAAATTTTGCCTTAACTCACTTGGTTATAGAATATATCAACAGCCTTGGAAAATATGTTAGTTCTGATGCTTCACTTCTTAAAAAAATATTCTCACTCCCCATAACACACAATATGGTTCATAATAGTTTTCAGCGCTATCATCAGTTTTATATTACCAGAAAGCCAGGAAGAATTTTTATTCTCAGTTTTCTAGAATCCCAAATGCTAATAACAGTATTTAAAATTTAGTTAAAATTTTCTTGAGATAATGTAATACTCCTAAATATATTTAGACAATTTAAAAATTAACTTTTCAATAAGGATTAGAATATATTTTAAAATAAATGCTAAAAATGCTAATCTGAGGGAAAAAGTACTCACCTTTTGCCATTTAAGCTCTTGAATCTCCACAATAATTTTACCAATGTGCTCTTCATATTGAGTTTCTGCTTCCTGGTTAAAAAGAAAAATAAAAATGATCTGAAAATTAGGACTTTGAGACTTATAGTTTCAGCTCTTTCTTGTTGTTGTTGGTTGCCGTCAAGTCAATTCAGACTCATGGTGACCCCACGTGTGCAGAGAAGAACAGCTCCCTAGGGATTTCAAGGCTGTGACCTTACAAAAGCAAATCACCAGGCTTGTCTTCTAAGGTGCCTCTGGATTGATGTGAACCGCCAACCTTTCAGATAGTAGTCAAGGGCTTAAACTGGTACACCACCCAGGGACTCCACCAGCTCTTTCTAGAGAGGCACAAAAAGCATCCCTCCACCATTACAAGAAAAATACAAAATAAAAAAACTGGACAAACTAATGATGGCAAATTAATGACTTTCTTTGAACCCGTTGGAGAAATGAGGTTACAGATCAAACAATTAACTCTAAATCTGGATTGAGACAGATGCCTGCAGGGAGAAACAACACTCAAGCATTTGCTTGCTTACCTGGGGTATAAGCCACCGAATGCCATATAAGCCAGCAAGAAGATTCAGCTAGAAATCCTCAATAAATTGCTAAAGGCAGAGTATGGGCTAGAGTAAAAACAAGAAGCCACTGGGGGCTGCAGACATAGAGAGGTTTGCACCCTCTACTAGGCTTTTCTTCCAGGAAATCTACCCGATGCTCAAAGGGAAGATCAGGAAGAATCCTGAGAGTTTGACCCCATAGTACTGGCTGAAGAAGGGGAGAGCAGCCAGAGACCATCTTCCCTATTTCCCCTACAGAACAAAAGCCTTAATCTGCAGGGAGAAAAGCAATGAAAATTGTAGCTAAGGACACTAGTGGAAACCCTGTGCAGCTGGGAAAGGGGAACAACAGCTACTATTAAAACTCTACCCAAGGTAACACTGAATGTGTGAAGTATACACAGCTTGATGAAGGTAAATTATGTCACTAAAAAGTACACACAAAAAAAGGACCTGTTGGTAATTGCTATGGCATATATAATTTTGAAACAATAGCAAAAACAACCAAAAAACATATGTGTGGATATATATGTATGTATGTAGGCAAATACGTGTATAAACCCACTGCTGTCAAGTCGATTCTGACTCATAGACACCCTACAGGACAGAGCAGAACTGCTCCACAGGGTTTCCAAGGAGCGGCTGGTGGATTCGAACCGCCAACCTTTTGGTTAGCAGCTGTAGCTCTTAACCACTGCACAGCCAGGCTCCATATATGTGTGTAGGTATGTATATATGTGTATGCATATGTATATGCATCTATGTGACTGTATGCACATATATTCATATATATAATAAAGCACATAGGGGGCACAATTATGAATATTTCTTAAACTTAACCAAAAGCCTTGTAGGATTGGATTTCTGGATTTGAAGGATTAGGACCATAGTCTCATGGGACATATCAGTCAATTGATATAATATAGTTCATACAGTTACATTTTACATGCTAGTTTGGTGAGTAGTGTCTGAGGTGTTAAGAGCTTCCAAGTGGCTATCTCACATACAACTATTAGACTCTACCGGTCTGGAGTAAATGAGAAAGTAGGAAACCAAACATCTAAAGAAGAAACTAGTCTACAGGACAAAGAGTCTACATGAACTATGGCCTTATCTACCCTGAGACTAGAACTAGATGGTGCTCAGCTACCACTACTGACCATTCTAACTGGGGCCAATAGATGGACCCTGATAGAATGGGAGAAAAATGTAGAACAGAACCTCAAATTCCTAAAAAGTAACTTTCTGAGAAAAGCAAAAACTCAGGGAATTTACTACCATCCGACCCTACTCTCCAGAAAATGTTAAAAAAAAAAAAAAGTTATTGAGGCAGAAGGAATATGATATAGTATAGAAACTTGGATCTACAGGAAGATATGAAGAGTGCCAGAAATAGGATTAAAAAGATAAACAAAAATCTTTTCTTCTTTTAAATTCCTCTAAAAGTTAACTAACATTTTAAAGCAAAATACAATGATGTATTGTGTGATTATAGCATATATAAAAGTAAAATGTACAAGAGATGAGAAGAAAAAAAGAATTCAGAATGTAATCATATAAAGTCCCTACACAATACATGAAATGATATAATATTATTTGAAGGTAGACTCATATTTTTTTAAAAAGTACATTGTAGACTTTCGATCCAGACAAGATGGTATAGACTCATTTCTCCCAGCTCCTCCCTGCTTCTCTCTTCTCAGTACAACTAAAATCCTTGGAAATAATGTAAGAGGTAACAAAAAAAGAGAACTTGGAAGGTGGAAAGAGGAGGGTGAACTGGTTAAAGACCCCAGACTGGAGGAACAACATAGTGGCTGGGCATCTTATGGTCCCCCACCAAACAGAAGGCAGCAACCAAGGTGTGGCATTCCCTGACCCCGAACTCAGCAACAGTGGGCAGGCAGCCCAGGTATGTTCATTCCTTCCCTGGATCAAACAGGAATCCCACTGCCAACACCAGGTGAGCCAAGCAGCACCAGCAAGGGCCAGGGGAAGCAAATTCCTTCCTTGTTGGGCCTGAGATTCCATTCTCCCACCTAGAGAAACCTGGTAGATGGGCAACACTGGCAAAGGCGATGCCACCATAACGAGCCTTAGCCTAGGAATCCTCTTTGCCCCCCACAAGACTGAGACTCCCTTCCCCCACCCAAAGACATAGGGCAGCTGGGTGGCACCATCAAGGCAAATTTTGTAATAACAAATGACCTGGCCCCAAAAGCGCTCTCCGTCTTCATGAACTAAAGACTCTCTTCCCCTACCTAAAGGCAGCAGGCATCCGACTAGGGAAACTCCTTCTACTGCCTCAGGTAGTACCAAGGAGAGGCTAGTGGAAGCCCCAGAAGCACCAGATAAATCAAAAAACAAACCAAAAAGCAATGTAAAGTTTCTAAAAATTAAGTTGTCATTGGAACCATACCCCACAAAAGTAGGCCAGGACCTATGTGCTAAACCTAAACAGGATGACTGCCTGCTAAAATTAATTATTTAAGTAAAACCCAGAGTCACCTGCCATAATAGACTAAATGTTCAGGATACAATAAAAAATCTCCCATCATACTAAGAACCAGGACAATCACAAACTGAATGACATATACCTTTAAGGTCTGATGGAAATCTAAATTCTGCAAATTAAATTACTAACATCACACATATTCTCTCTCTCACTCACACAAAGACACACACACACATATCCCACACTCCTATAGTTTGTTGGGCATCCCAGTTGGCTGGTAGGTATATTATCAATAGTCTCTTATATTTTTTTCCCTCTACATACCAACTTCCACTCCACTCTCAGGCCAAACAATTCTCAAAAGTTCAGGGAAATGAAAAGTAGCTGCTCTCACAAAAGCTTAAAAATCTCAGTTGTGCTGAAGGAAATTTTTATAATATCCTTTAGTGATATATTTCTTAAATACCTTTGTTTTCTTTTGTTTTTACCAAATATCATTTGCTATCCTATATGCTCTTGTTATTTCTATATGCATGAAGGACAAAAAAAGCTCAGTTTCCATCTATAACAATTTTTCCAATATTTATTATTTTTAATGCTTGTTATTTGAAAATAATTATCACTTTATTTGGTACTTACTATGTGCTACAGAATGATGCCTGGTGGTGCAGTGGTTAAGCACTCAGCTGCTAACTGAAAGATCAGCAGTTCAAATCCACCAGCCACTCCATGGGAGAAAGATAAGGCAGTCTGCTTCCATAAAGATTACAGCCTTGGAAACCCTATGGGGCAGTTCTACTCTGTCCTATAGGGTCGTTAGGAGTCAGAATTGACTTGACAACAATGGGCTTAGGTGCCATACATTTTATATGTGTTCACAGAGTGTTTAATTTGAAACATAATCTCAGAATTGTTTTATCATAAAACCTTGCCGCCAGATATACTACTTAAAGGGGATATATAACTTGTTATACAGTATTTGTTAAAAATTGATCTCCTGATTTTACATTCATACCACACATTCAAATAAAAGACAGGCAAATGCTAAGAATAACAAAAAATACATATTTTCAATGAGCTGCACCTTTTGGACAGTCAATGGCCATTCTTATACCTGGTCAGTTACTTTTTATATTATACCTATACAGTACTTGCATCCTCTAGTCATGTTCTCTACTTGTCTTGCCATTAGCATTCCTAATCTTCTAGTTGTAGAAAGCTCTCAGAATTCTGTACTGACAGAATTCCGTTCTCATTGTATATAAAAAAACCTTATGTTGTTGCTGCTATTGCTATTATTTTTACAGTCACTGATATTGTTGTTCTTTTGCTTCATCTTTTTATCCTGTTCTGTTTTGCACTAGGTGCTTGTCTTAGTTATCTAGTGCTGCTACAACAGTAATACTACAAGTGGACGGCTTTTAACAAAGAGAAATTTATTCTCTCACAATCTAGTAGGCTAGAAGTCTGAATTCAAGGTGCCAGCTCCAGGGGATGGCTTTCTTTCTCTCTCAGCTCTGGAGGAAGGTCCTCGTCATCAATCTTCCCCTTGTCTAGGAGCTTCTCCACGCAGGAACTCCAGGTCCAAAGGATGTGCTCTGCTCCTGGTGCTGCTTTCTTGGTGGTATGAGGTCACCTATGTTTCTCTGCTACTTCTCTCTTTTATATCTCAAAAGAGCTTGGCTTAAGACACAATCTGATCTTGTAGATTGAGTCCTGCCTCATTAACATAACTGCCACTAATTCCATCTCATTAACATCACAGAGGCAGGATTTACAACACATAGGAAAATCACATTAGATGACAAAATGGTAGACAATCACACAATACTGGGAATCATGGCCTAGCCAAATTGATACAATTTGATTCAATCTATGACATGCTCTATGTCATTCTGTGCTATGATAAAAATATAAGCTTTTCTCCTTGATCCACTCACTCTTTAGAGGTATACCAATATTACTTCCGCGATTACGCTGCTCTTTGCGTTGGTTTTCAAAAATCTGTAAGCCATCCATCTATTAGTTACAGTTCT